CGTGGCGCTGAGTTCCACTGTGGACTGTGCTCCGCCTCCTTCACACACGCCCACCACCGCCACAGACCCCCCAACGCATGCGTACACCCCGCCTTGTGATGGACTCGCCCGCGCAATTTTGCCCTTTCCGTGTTTTTTTTTCTGTTTCGTCGTACTTTTGTGTGTGTGTGTGTGTGTGTTCTCCCGTGTCCTTGTGTTACTGGCGTTTCTCCTTCTTCTCCTCACTCTCTCTGTCTGTGTGTGTGTGTGTTTCTTTGTGTATCTGCATTTTCCCTGTCTTTCTTCCAGCGTGCGTGTAAATGCCCTGCCGACGAGCGCCGCTGTGGACTGTGCTGCCCGGCCGTCTCTCTCGCGGGGGAAGAGCCGCGTCATTCCTTTGCTTTCGTCTTGTTTTGTTTGCTTTGTTTCTGCCGCTGTGACCTCCGCACATGCGCAAGGAGAGAGAGAGAGAGAGTAGCATTGCGGGAGCAGCAGCGTGTTCTCCGTGGGTCGTTACGGCGCGCAGAAAAGAAAAAAAAAGGGACATTGAACCAAAACAAACAAACTTCACAGTTCAAAAAAAAGGGCGTTGGGCACATCACAGAGACGTAGGGAGGAGGCATTCGATGAAGTCCCCCGCTGTTCCTGCCGCCGCATGGCGTGGCTCGACGCCCACAACGCCGCAGAGATCGCCGCAGCGAGCACGGAGTAGCGGCAGCGTCGGCATCAGCGTCGGTGCACACGCCACGCGCAGCCTGAGTGCTATGCTCACACCGTCACTGGCCGGCGCAGTGCCGCAGCAGCAGAAGCAGAAGCAAGTGGCACTGCCCGACATGCGCAGCAGGAGTAGGGGACCGCCACTCGTCCCGCCAACGACAACAACAACAACAGCAGCAGCAGCGTCACAACGGCCCCAGCCGCAGTGGGCAGCTACGGCGCGGCAGCAGCAGTTGCCGCTGCATGAACAGCCGGCGTTTCGTGCGGACTTGGTGCACCGATCGGTGTTTGTTTTCGGCCTTCGCACGGTTGAGGAGTGCCGTGCGTTGCTGCACGTGCTGCAGACGCAGTGCGGCCCCGTCGCGGGCGCCTTCCGCACCGCCGACCACGCCCTTGGCAGCAGCAACGGTGGTGGTGCAGCTGCCGCTGCAGGAGGAGCTGGGGCGATGGGCGGGGTCGTTGTCATCTGTGTGGTGTTTTACCGCGCTGACAGCGCCACGGTGGCGCGACGCCTCGACAACACCGCGCAGGTGTACCAGAACCGTTTTGTTGTGGAGAGCGCCGCGCGCTTTCAGTATATGTCGCACAGTCCGGCCCTGCATGCTTCATCCTTCGGCTCACCACAGGCGGCGGAGCTGCCGCAGCATGTGCGTTTGTGGCAGCTGCTCTTCTCGCCGACTCATGGCGGCGCAGAGATCGACTGGCGTGCGGCAGCGGCTGCGGTGGAGCGTGGCGAGGCGTTGCTGCTGAGGTCGGCAGCCGTCACGACCGGCAGTGGCAGCAGCAGCAGCAGCAGC